TCTAAACAGCAGGTGCATCCTTCAAATTCATTTCCTTCAGTTCTGCAGTCTGAATTTTGAGTACCCTTCTCTTAGTGCCAAGATCAAAATCCCCTTAACTGTTGGTTGGAAGTTCCTTTTATTACGGTAATGGACAGTTTATTGGCAAGAGGTAACAAGCCATTGTATAAATCTCCCAGAAAATGGTTTAGGAGGTCTGTTAAGCATGTGCCAAAAGATAGAAGCTTAGCTTCCCCCCCCTTTTTTTTCTTGTGATGAATTTGTTTCCTGAATCATTAATTGGCTGGAGCAAATTTTAGGTCATCTTGACATAGAATGTTCCCAAATTACAACTAGCTGGCTTTAATATGCACAGAGAAAAAGAAAGTCATCCATCATTAAATATTGAGATGATACGATCCTGATTTTCCCTATGAAGAATAGTGAGATCTGTAGCTCAGGATTCCATGGGGTCCTTGGTGGCTTTCTGAGCTTGGTAGTTTTCTTGCAGATGTTTCATTACCAAACCAGGTAACATCATCAATGATAGCTTACTACTTTGTTAATGAAATGTCCGCAAGAAAACCACCCAGCTCAGAGAGTACCATGGTTTCTAGCACCGATGATGGTACCTAGTTTGGTAGTGAAACCTCTGCAAGTAAACTGCCAAGCTCAGAGAGCATCCAGGGCACCAAAGAAAGGAATCTTGGTTGACTTTCTTCCCATTGAACATCCTACAAGCAGACAATGTCAGAAATGGTGTAGGGTCTTCCACTTGGGCAGGGGTGGGTGGGTGGACTAGATGACCTACAAGGTCCCTTCCAACTCTGATTATCTGTTATCTGACAAAGTTGATTCTTCATCTGGAGGTTGGTAATCCGGTACATTCCCTGTCACCGTATAATGCCTGCAGCTATTCTCTCTTGGCCTTGCCATATTAGTAGTGGCAAAAGAATTGAAGGAAATTTATATCAGCCCTTTGCAACTATTTTAAACATTTTTTTTTTTAAAAAAAGGCACTGAAACTTGAAAAGTGGGGTGGGAAACTCTCCCTTCCTGCTGGATCTCTTATCCCTTTCATAGACTTGGGCTTCCCCAAATTCTGTTTTTAACTTTAATTTTAATGGGAGGAAATCCATTTCATAGCAAAGCTGTCCAGCCAGAGATACAGAGAATTTAAGCTGTTTTAACATTGTCTTTTATCTCGATGCAATATTTATAAGGAAGAGTTAGTGTACGCTGGGGCATGCCTGGTTAAACAAAGTGCTTGTGTTTGAAACACACTCACCGGTAGAAATGTCAAGCGTTGGAAAAATGTTTAGGGATCCAGTAATAATGTAAGTGGGAGAGAAGGAAGGAAAGTTGGTATTCATTGCAATCTTTTTTCCCCCTGTTGAGTCTGCATGTTTTCGGAGGGTATTTATTTTGTGTTTGCATTCTGTTTCTCTTCTTATTCTCTGAATTTTTTGACTGCACTTAACCTCCTGAGCAGATGGGGGGGAGAGAAAGAGAGGGCGGGAAGAGGAAGAGAAAGAGAATGAATGGTAAAGGATGGAGAGGCAGATCGAAATCCTTTATTTTACTTTTATTGCTTAACTATTTGAAGCTTCTGGTGTTAAGCTGTAAATAACTAAAACAGCAAAGTGAAAGAATACCATACTTTGTTTGAAAATGCAGTTGACTCGGCCTACATTCTTGTATGCACATATCCTGAAAATACGACTCTTTTGAACTCACTGGGGTTGTTCTTTAAGCACATCGACGACGTAGAACTACTCTTTTAGTGTGGTCATTAGGGCAGGTTAAAGAATGTTTGATGATTAGCCAGGAATGACGGCAATTTTGCAGGATGCTTTTACACTAGAAGTATTTTATCTGTCTGTCCATCCGATTTCCATAGCTGCTCATTTCAGTAAACAAAAACAATTTCTCATCAATTACCAGTTCCCCTAGGTGAAAATGCATCAAACTGCATCACGGGAGTATCTAAATATTTGGGCTTTTGAACATAAGTAGAAGGGTGAGGGTAGATGGTTAATGAAGACATTTGCAATGCTTTAGAAAAACTGCAAATTCATAAAATGGGTGCCGGGGTGAATGTAACCAATCAGAAGGCATTTGTTAGTCTGGTGGACTAATCTTTTCCTTGCCTCAAGAGGTACTCCTACCATCCATTGAGGTCCTCAGGGACATTCCTCTATTAAAATGTGATGCTAGAACCAAATGGCTTGTTTTGCAGCAGTCCTATTCCTTCCTTCCTTCCTTCCTTC